AACATTTTCGGTAGGTGTAACATTTTCGGTAGTGACAGTGACACCCCTACCTATATCGCTCAATTAAGGCTGTTGCGAAATTCTTGATAATCTTTGATTATTATAGGTAGCAATGTAAAAACAAATACTGTCATCTATTGTCTCGGAGTATGTTGACGGGTCCCGTACCGATCCATTATCTGGGATCTATTTGTTTTGACTTGCTGTACAGGGTAACCAATCAGATGTTACTCTCGGTTGACAACCTGCAGTGACAGATAAAATTAATTCATGATGTGGTGAAAGTGCCAAAATTAAATAAATAGTGAAATAATTGTAAATGACACATGTAATTAATTAATAATGATTTTATTTCTAATGGTAGATAATAATTCATGGCACATTTAATTAATAATATTTTTATTTCCCATTTTAAATAATTCATGACACATTTAAGTAATACTTTCTCTTTATATTTCCCATTTTAAACAATTCATGGCACATTTAATTAATTAATTATTGGTGTATTTATTTATTTAATTTTGGCACTCTTAGCCCTCCATAAATTACTGGCAAACAGTAAAATATATAAAAATATATATTTAAAATATCTTTTACATGTTAATGTGGAGTTTGCATGTTCTCCTCGTGTCGTCGTGGGGTTTCCTCCGGGTACTCCGGTTTCCCCCCACAGTCCAAAGACATGCTGAGGCTAATTGGCATTGCTAAATTGCCCTTAGGTGTGCATGTGTGAGTGACTGGTGTGTGAGTGTGCCCTGCGATGGGCTGGCCCCCTGTCCAGGGTTGTTCCCTGCCTCGTGCCCGTTGCTTCCGGGATAGGCTCCGGACCCCCCGCGACCCAGTAGGATAAGCGGGTTGGACAATGGATGGATGGATGGTAATTTTATATTACAATTCTTAAATAATGTAATGATGTATCGTTCTTCCAGGTGAGCACTGTCCGAAAATTGTGCAAGGCCTGTAACGTTTATTCCCGTATTGACCTTGTTATCAGACTAAGGGAGGAGATGAAAACGAGACAGACATATGATAAAGTATTTCAGAAGATCTGGGGTGCTTCTGGTGAGTAGAGTTGACAGTTTATGAAAGTAATTTTGAATAGACAGTTCGTGTATACATTTTTATGTCGTTTCATTGTGTGTTTTCAGGTGGATGGTCAGTCATTGTGTGTCCACATGGAATTGTGTACAGCTTAAATTTCAACCTTAGAGCAGAGAGTCCAAGGGACTTTGCAGTTTTGCTTCTGTCCTGGAAGCACTTTCCAAATGTGTGTATATGATTTTGCCCGTGGACTAGCTACACATACTAACTTGAGGGCACCAGCCATCTTGCCTTTTCATCCATTTGAAGGAAGACTGGCACAGCCTACTGTGGAAAACATTCAGTCAGCCGAGATGAAAAAACTTCAGGTGTCACTTCCATAGCTTATAAAGAGTCTCGAGTACCCCGAGCCTAATGGCCACCCAGTTACTGGTTCCTCAGAACACTATGTACTCTATGACAAGTTTCATGAGAAGAACACTAAGGACTCAAAAGATGCACTGGGAAGAATTGGCCTGGTTCCAGAACTTCGTTGGACATTGAACAATTAGGTTGCAGAGCAGTTGTTTTCAGCTATGCGGAAAAACAACTACTTCTTGAATAATATGTCTCCGTCCACACATGTGTTTGCAATGAGGAATATCATCCATCATCGGAATACTGCAACAAATTCGAAACCCTTACATTGTGGTGAGAGACCCCAAGATATCTGTAACATTACGCTGTCTAACTTTGGCCAAGCTGTCATAGATCAATAAACATGATATGTGGTAATTTACTTGATGATGGTAAGATTACATGTACTGTACGTATGCATTCTTTGTTACTTACATCCAGTGCTCTTGCACCACTTACAGGTTCTGAATCTCTGGCTAGTACTGATTCTGCCAGGACACTAAGCCCAAAATCTATAAGTCTACAATCTACACAAGTTAAAGAACAGACACTTTTGGCATTTAGTGACATGGGTATGCTTTTAATATACTTTGCATTTAAGTGCTTTGACATGACAATTCTAACTGCTGTCATACAACACTAATTTAGACTTTGGCATGTGTGGACCACGTTGTGAAGACCTCACAAAACTGGAAAATGTATCAGCATCCTCTGCATCATGGGAGATGCAGTATCACCTTGGCCAACAATTGCTGGTAATATTAAACTATAAGATAAATCAAGTAAAATAAAGTTATAGTTTATTTGTATACTACGTTTGTTTTTAACCATTCAAACATGTTCCTCAGCTTGATTATGTCTTGGACATTGAAAGACCTCAACAAGAGTTCATTGTTAGAACTAAAAGAGCGTGTCTGAGCCGGGCTGACTTTTTAACCTTGGGCCTAGAAAGAGAAATTGAATCAACCGTAAGTAACTATTTACTGTACTCAAAACTATAATGTAATTTATTATAAAGGCATAACAAGGTTTTTTTTTCTAGATTGCAAATGGATGCTTTGATTTGATTGAAGAAATAGCAGGAGCCAAGGTACACTTCGTTTGCAACATAGAATTACTGTCTTTAAAATAGTTGTTGAGTATTAACATTTTTATTCATATGTCTTTAGTTAGGGAAAGGATATTTTTATTGTTGATTCATATGTTGTCCCAACTTGGCTGCCTCCCACAAGCTGTGACCCAATGGCCTCCTTACCTGTAAGTCTATTTTTCTGTGTGTGGTGTAGGATCCTGTTGGTCTGCACTGGTATAGTTTGAAGATCACACACTATTACAGACGTAGAACAGCTATTACCATAGACAAATCAAATACAGTTAGTTATCTTTTACAAAATACTTGAAAAGGATAGGATTAATACAAGATACATTTCAGTCTAACATTTGCAAATGAAAACTAAACTATATTTATCTTCTCCAACTGTATTAAACCTTTGTGAAACTTTTCTTAGAAGGATTCTGGTACCAAGGAGACACTTTTCATTCCCATCTGGATTCCTGGGCATTTTGTACTTTGTGTAAGTAAAATATCTAGAGCCAAAACAAGATATTAATATTGTTAATGTTAACATTAACTATTCTTCACTAGACTGGAAATAAGTTTTGTAATTGCTAGGTCTTTCAGTATTGATTGATGTCTTCTGTCTAAGCTCCTGTTGAATGTCTTTGTGTAGGTTTTGAAGCCGGCACAGAGAGAGATCTTTTTCCTTGACTCCATGTACAGTACCATAAAAAAAGATCTGGATTTTCTGCTGTCCAGTACATGGAACTGTTGAGGTTAAAGCTTGAGTTTAAAGGAGTTTAAGTTCCTTGGTCCAGTTCCATGATCATTAATGTGACCACTTTCTATTGGTCATTTTCTGCATGTGAGTTCCAAAAAACAGGTCACGTTCTTTGACCTATCTGTTTGCTCGGCTGGTTTATACTTGATTTCTGCAATGCTTGCTTGCTCCAAATAAAACACGATGTGTACATGATTCATGATGTGTGACATCATTACCAACAAATATTGTGGGGGGCAGTGTCTCATCCCAAGCATGAAATAAAACGTTTTGTAGTTTTATTTAAACAATTATGTAGTAATTGTAATTATCTGTGCTAATTGCTGGTTCCTAAGACTGCTATAACAACTTTTCAAACAGCCCCCTGTTGCACTTAGCTTTTAATCCTCCACATGAACTAAACTAAGTGTGCAATTATGTACAACAGTAGCATAAAAGCAACGCATTGCTGAGCTGAGTATAAACCTGGTCTAAAACCTATATATATATTTTTTTTGCATTTGTATAACTGCATGTGCAATTCTACTTGACAGAAGTATAGCTCAGACCATCCAGCCTGGCCACTGGGTAGAGAAAACAGGTTTTGATTTGGAGGTAGGAGAAGTAGATCACATCTACAACCAGGTCTGGTTAAATACAGTATATTAACCTACTTCAGTATATTAACCTACTTCTTGATTTTGTTACAGGCATTTCTAGTACAGACACATTACATGAATGACTGTGGGATTTTTATGCTGATGGTAGGACATTAATGACTTTGAGTGATACAGAGTTTAAAGGCTCGGCTTGTTCATTAATTTTTGTTGTTCTTTTGTGTCCCAGGCTTGTCTTTACATTGCTGTTGATGCCCCTTTTGACTACACAGTTATAAGTTGATTTCCATGATTCCTATGGAAATTTTATTTTATTTATTTGTTATTTTATTTTATAATATTTTGTTTTTATTTAGGATGATATGCCTCAGATTAGGAAATGGTGGTGTATTCTTCTTTTGGAGAATTTGACACTGGAAAGGTATAGTTATCTTTGCCTCAAAAAACATTATTTTTTATTATATTGTCTAGCTGTTGTGCTCAATTAGTGAACAGAGTTAACGGAAATTTGTTACTATAAGGCATGAAAAAAGATTTGCTCACTGGACAGCAGAAGCTCATGCTCTTCTGTGAGGAGAGACTGACCCAGTGTATAGATTGCCAAGGAGGCACCTGGAGCCTTCCCAGGTTAGTTTAAATTTGAATTTATGTATATCTGGGTTTATGTATCAATTTCTGCTTACTGCAATGACATGCAAGGTTTTTTGAAACAGTCTGAAGAGGAGCCCATGACAACCCAGGAGGAAACTTTATCTCTCCGACACTCTGAAGTTTGTGACTACTTTATTCTTAGAACATTTTTTATTAATATTTGTATTATTGCATATTTTATGCTGTTTCAACAAACTGTACTTTGTGTAATCCACTGTAGGAACCAAAAGTAATGACACACCTGAAAAGGGCAAGAAAATGGTACCAAGATCACCATGAACTCTGAGTCTCCTGTGGTCCTTCCCAGAATCCTCACAATGGAGGAGGATTGGATTGGATGATTGGAGCAACTTAAAAACACTGAAGAAGAGAAAGACACTATTGTCTGTCCCTTTTTAGTTCAGTTTTCAAATGTTCAAGATATGCATTTGTTTTTAGAAAACACAGCCGACAAGGGCTTAACCGTGTTTTGTGGTTTAGTGTAGTAGTTTCAAGGTTCACTGTACAGTACATTGTTATTGTCACAAATGATGTTTTTGTTGTCATTTTATAGTTTAAGTAGTTAATATATTTAAGTGTTGTTTTATACTGTATTCTGTTGACATCCTGTTGGGTTTGAAAAATATACAAGCTTTCCTTTTACTGTTTTGTGCGGAAAAAAAAACATTTTTATTAAAAATACCATAAGTTGTACACTCACCTAAAGGATTATTAGGAACACCATACTAATACGGTGTTTGACCCCCTTTTGCCTTCAGAACTGCCTTAATTCTACGTGGCATTGATTCAACAAGGTGCTGAAAGCATTCTTTAGAAATGTTGGCCCATATTGATAGGATAGCATCTTACAGTTGATGGAGATTTGTGGGATGCACATCCAGGGCACG